AAGAAATCAAGAGGACATATTTGAAAATAAGCCTTTTTAAGAGAGAAAACTATTCTCAATATCAAAGAGAACGAAAAAGTTCTAACGCTAATGACTGGTTTTGCCTACAGTTTACAGTTTACTGGCAATCTAGCAGTATTAACTCTGTTGAAAACTACATTCTTGGGTGATTTCCAGCTGTCACTGACTGTCTATTACTGGAGCAGGATAGCAGGTATTCTGGTAGAAATATGAATTGTATATGCTCATTCATTTCTCATAAGATATAGCAGTCAGTGGAATTTTCTGTACATCTCTAGATAGCTACACAATATCCAGTTTCTACAAGTAGAATATTTTGGGACTAAAATCACTGTCTTTTGGGTATCCTTTTTAAAATCCTTTGCAAGATTCAAGATTTAAAATTTCTCATACACAGACATACATACGCAAATGATAAAATCTCTAGGTTTAACCAGCTTAAAAGAATATTGTTGTCCAAGAATGTCAATAGTATTCTGAATGTTTCTTTTAATTGTTAACCTTCATGGCACCGTTACTGTGCTCTCAGAAGGAACAACATACAGATGTAGTTGGAAAATATAGCTGTCATTTTTGTATACCTCAAGTACCCATTTTATAAAGAAATGGTCATTTTAATGTGGTTTGTCTTTAAATTAGTTCTGGGTGAATAGTTCAAAGGGGAAAAAAAAAGTCCCTTAGGACATCTTGACTTAATTTACAAGCTTGAATTTAAATAAAAATATGTAGGGACTAACCTGCATTTAAATGGGATGGGTATGAATGATTGTCGGTCTTAAAACCTGAAATATTATGTTGCAGCATAAAAATATACATACCATGCTGTTACCATGTTCTGATAATATTTCTTCCAGGAGAGCTAATATTTTCAGTAAGTTTTTTTAAAGAATCTTGACTTGCATTATTGAACTTGATCTAAAGACCTATGCTTGATTAGATTCTTTAAATAGATACTTTGAAAATTGTCATTAATTTTTATCGACTGTTATTAAAGACTTAAATTTTAGTTGCTTGCTCTGCTACATCAGTTCTTATATTAAAATAATATGTGTTCCTATTTTACCAATATTCTATTTCATTCGCTAGGATTTTTTTCCTACTTAATAGACTTAAAAAAAAAAAAAACCTTTAACTTGTCTTAAATACAGCTTATCCCTAGTATGTACTCAATAATGGAATTTTAGTGCTGGAAGGAATCTGAGTGATCTCCTGTTTCAACGGACACATTTTACAAATAAAAAACAACCCAAAGTATTCAAATGATTTCTTTTGGATTGTGTTCCAATTTCTAAACAGCAGATACATAAACAAACTTTTGAAATGTAACTAATTTATGAGTTTACAGCTGGTTGCAAATGTCCCTAAAAAGGATCCGTCTTCAAATTCACAGGAAAACTAAGGACAAGGGTAAGTTGACCTTGGGTGAAGACTGTTTAAGTACTCTTCTACAGGCTTGGAGTCCCTGGGGGCGCACACCGTTATGCATTGGGCTACTAACTGAAAGGCTGATGGTTGGAATCCACCCTGAGGCACCCTGGAAGAAAGACCCAGCTATCTGCTTCTGAAAGGTCACAGCCATGAAAACTCTATGGAGCACAGTTCTACTCTGACACACATGGGGTTGCCCTGAGTCGAAACTGGTTTGGTTTTGATTTTCTATGGGCTCATTTGTGTGGTTCTGCTTTGCAAACTCCCATATCTCCTACCTGGGCTGGGAAGACTCAACAGCTGGAGCATCTAGTGGCTCTGCTGCTGGGTGGTCTCTCCACTTTGTCTTTCCAGCTTCCTCCAGAAGGTAGCCAGATTCCTGACTTGTTGGCTGCAGTTAATCAAGATGTGTATCTTTGAGGAGAAAGAACCAGATAGAAGCTGCATCCCCTTTTCTAACCTAGCCCCAAAAGTCTCATAATGTCATTATGTTTTTTGGAAGTGAGTCACTAATCCAGCTCATCATGTAAGGGACAAGAGGGAGTTTGGTTCCCCCTTTGTAGGAGGAGTGTTTTAAAACCATTGCAGTGGCTCTCAATTTGGCTTTTGGTTTGGTTTTAGCTGTCTGGGAACTGTTTATGCTTTTTGTCTGATTCTTGATTGTTCTTTGAATATGAGGTTGCTAGGTTAGAAATCTCTGGATAAGCATAATTTTGCTGTGCATATGACTAAGGCAGTATGCAAGAACTCGATTTCCAGGATTGGAGACAGAAATTTGTCTCTTAAGGCAACCTACTTTCAAGGATCTCTACCTGGAAACCTGCTGGGTTTTGAGAGATGACCATCTCGCCAACCTTTTGGCTACAAAAGGAAATCAGCATCTTGCCCATTTTCTTAGACCTCAGCCAAGTTCCTTGTTTCTTACCTAATTTGTTTGGGTAAATAATATGACATCAATTTGAATTATACCTTCGTTTATTGTTAGCCATAACAAAAAAATGTGTAATGATAAATTAGGTCAAACTTGGATGATGAAGTTAAGTAATAATATGCCCATGCTTGGCAAATAAAGAGCACACATTTTTTGTGTCTATATCATGAGCCCTGTTGTGGCGCAGTGATTAAGTACTCAGCTGCTAACCAAAAGGTTGGTGGTTCGAACCCATTGGCTACTCCATGGGAGAAAGATGTGGCAGTTTGCTTCTGTAAAGATTACAGCCTTGGAAACCCTATGGGGCAGTTCTGCTCTGTCCTATAGGGTCGCTATGAGTTAGAATGGACTTGACGGCAGTGGGTTTTTTGCGGGGGCGGGGGAGGTGGTATTCTTTTTTTGATTTTATATCATAAAACTGGTCATCTTGACTATTTGACATTAATTCAAGGTAAAATTAAACCTTTTATGAAAATCAACTAATTTTGCTGCTCTTAATATTTTTTTAAGTTGCACGTTAATGTCCTGTTTGTGTTGGTTTTGGCCAGATAATGAAGCTTAAAGATGCACTCAAATAAGAATATGCTCATTCTATTTTTATAAATTGCATAAATTTATGTATTTAAATTTTGTATACATTTTACCTTGTGGCTTTAAAGACATGCTTTTATGTATTTCAAATATACCATCCAATGGGGAGGAATTTTCATCTATGAAAAATTATATGAACGAATGAAGATCCTTTCCACACTCCCCCTCACCACACTTGGTTGTTTTTTTTTTTTTTTTTTTTTGCCTCTTCCTCTCCTTTTCGTTTCAGCTTATAGTCATGATTAGGTTTCTATTATCCTTTACAAAGCAAATAAATTCTCCCTGGACTCTGACATCCTATTCTTAGCTTCTTCCCCATCTGTCTTCTTCCTCTTTGAACTGTCAACAAAGAAACCCACCCTTGTTTTCTCCACTTTTCCTTTCCATTCACGTATTAACCCTCTGTGCTCTGATTTCTCTACCTGTCATTTATCTGAAACCGCTCTTAATCATGAATTTGTACTTAGCAAACCTCATCTCTCTTCACTTTGTAGCATTCGACCTTGTTGCCCACTCTCCACTCCTGAAAGCTCTTGTACTTCTGTAATTTAATTCTCTTCTGCTTTTCCTTTAACCTTTCTGATGCGTATTTTTCTTCCATTCAGTTTTGCTGACCCCAGAATTTTCTTTTCATTCTTCCTCTCATTCTGTATTACCTTCCTGAAGAAATTCACCTTTAGGTGAGCTACTTCAAAATACATATCTTCAGACCGCATTTTTTTTTTTTTTTCTCCAGAACTCCAGTCATTTATTTCTGCTCTCTATTTGGCATATATACTGCATGTATCACAGATACCTCACATATCACATCTGAAATATGCATGGAAATACTTAACACACACATCTACTTCCATGACAACAATCTATTTCACTTTCTGTATTTCCATTCTTCCAATTTGGTAACCTTATCAGGCTTTACTTTTTCTTTTCTCTCACCATCTACATCCAGTCATCCATTAACTTATACCAATTTAAGTTTGTCTGCTATTCTTTAACCCCATTGCTCTCACCTAAGCTTGCGTCCTCGTGTTCTATTCCCAAGACTATTTGCCTATCCTTTTAACATGCCCAGAGTCCTGGTTAGTAAGTGATAGTGACGAGATTTAAACCCAGTTGTCCCTGCCTGTATGTTTTTACCACCATACATACTACTCTACCTGTTTAGAATCAATAACAAGTTGAACATTAAACTCAGGACAGACAAAATAATTTCAGTATTCATTTTGTAATTTTAACTATTTCTTTATAAGATAGTTAAAATAGATTTTTAGTCACGCTCTTGAATTTTGTATGTAAAAATGCATGTAGATTTTGAAGGAATCAGATTCTTTTAATCATTTATATGTTCAGTAAACATTAATCACCTTATCCAAATATCAGGCACAGGGAAATAAGGTGCAGATACGGGCAGGAGTTAAATCACTGCCCCCAAGCAACTCACAGACTCATGGAAGAGGTGGGCATATATACAAATACAATGCAGTGTTATAGGTACTATGCAAAGGAGTATAAAAAGGCATTAAGAGTTTCAAGGGGAGAATAGCTTACTAACAACAACAAAGAGAACTGAAAAGGCATCACAGAGGAAGTATCAAATGAAGCTGGATTGTGAAGAAAGAGTAGGGTCTTCCTGACAAATAATTAGGAGAAGGATGTTTTAGGAAGAGGAAATAACCCCCTGCTACAACAAGGAGTAGAAGGGCTGAGGAGGTTGGACTTTATCCTGTGTACATGGGGAACCACTGGACATGTGTAGCAAATGAATTGCTGAAGCGTATTTGTGGTTACTCTAAATACTTGTGAGGTCGATTGGAGGGACAAGAGATGGAGCCAAGGAGATTAATTAGGAGGCTAGTGCAAAAATCGAGGTGAGAGATAGAGATGGTGAGAACCTAGGCTGAGATGTTGACTTTGCGAAGAAGAAGAGAGAAAAGAACTAAGCAACACTGTGTTCTGAATAACCATCCAGACTCTACAGATGCACATTTTTATGTTTGTGTCTGTGTTTTCTTTTTCTTTTACACTGCAGACATGGGATGTAGAGTTGGAAAGATCTGCAGAAGCTTGGGCTGAAACTTGTTTGTGGGAACATGGACCTGCAAACCTGCTTCCATTAATTGGACAGAATTTGGGAGCGCATTGGGGAAGGTAGCTTAATGCCTAACTTTTGTTTCTGAAAACGTGTTCAGAAGGAAAATGCTTATTAATTCATCTTTGAAAATTATCAAAGACTTGGTGCCTAAATGGAAAACTAGTAAACACAGCACGGACAACAAAAAACAAATATCATACCAGAATGATCAGCACGTTTTTAGACTTACTTTTGTTTTAAATCATTGATATGATATTAGTAAAGTAATGGACATAAATATTTAAGATGAATAATTTTACACAAACATAGCTCTCTGCTAAGCTTTATCAGTCTGTTTTGCTAGATTTGGTTTTACGTTTTTTCCAACTCTGCTTGTTTCTTACTGGTTATTTTCTTTTGAATAGATATAGGCCTCCAACCTTTCATGTACAAGCATGGTATGATGAAGTGAAAGACTTCAGCTACCCATATGAGCATGAATGCAACCCATATTGTCCATTCAAATGTTCCGGTCCTGTCTGTACTCATTATACACAGGTGTGTTTTGGGAATAAAGTGTTCTTCTAAGTTGAATTAGCATAATTATGGGAGAACTTGGAGTATTGAACCTGTGTCTATTTAGGTCATTTGGTATGGTTATTAAATAAAACTTACAAGGTTATTGATTTATATAGACTAGGCTTACACATTTCTATAAACAATAAAAGTAATTATCAGAAAACATTTAAAAACTTCTAAAAAGACATTATTTTAATGATTTTACATATGACACATTTTTAATATGGCCCCAGTAAATGTATATGGAAAGAAATTTACCACATCTTCAAAGTCAGGAATGTTTATTATTTTTTAGCTTATAAAGAATAAGAGTACAGTTTTATTTACCATTGACATTCAATATTTACATGTGTGTGACATTTATCTTTTTTTTATATTTAGTGTTCACATTTGGTATTGGATATTTTCTAAACTTCTGAATCAAACAGTTGAAGGTAGATTTAACAAGCTAAAGCTGTCCATTGGTCTGAGTTTTTCAATCTCTAGGACTGATAATGAGGGAATATAAACAGACAGATTGTTCGGTGTATCTTTGCACACGACATGATTAAGATCAGCGTTGAACTACCGTCTCACCAGTAGCACAGTGAAGAGATCATGGTGCCTAAGAAATTTCAACACCTGAATTTTTACTCTAGTATGTTCTGTTTGAGATGGAAAATTCTTTTCCTTTGTTTGGCAAGTTTTCCGCATAGAAATGTCAATACTGCATTTGGGTTTGTGAAGGCACATGTTTTGAATTTCTTTGGTAAATTTATATTTTATAAAAATGCTTCTTTTATAGCCAGTAGTTATTTTCCCAGCAGATCTCTTGTTAAATTGAATTAAGAACTCCCCAGAGTCTCAGGAAAAATATCCTTTTTATGATTACCTCATTTCATTTTGAATGATAAGTGCTTGTTTCTCAAGTCCAGCGTTTATACATTTTCTCTCAGATATTCTGCGTCTTCTTTTGTCTCAGCCTGTGTTTTCTAAGCCTTTCTTCTCTCTAATGCAGGTGGTGTGGGCAACAAGTAACAGAATAGGTTGTGCCATTAATTTGTGCCACAACATGAACATCTGGGGGCAGATATGGCCCAAAGCTATCTACTTGGTGTGCAATTATTCCCCAAAGTGAGTAGATAAAAATGCTACTTTCACATCTATTTTTTCTTAACATGAAAATAACTTTAAAATTCTGAATTTTTCTTATTTTCCATTGTGTGTTATCTAGCAAAGTATATTCCTTTAATTGAGTTTATTTACTATGACAACAGTTATCAGTTGCCTAATGCAGAAAATCAGTGCTTCAGGGGAATATGAAAGTTAAAAATACGATCTTTGTGAAGACAAAAATCATATATTTTATACCTCTGTTTTTATTATCGTACTATTGTATCCCATAAATATTTAATAATTTTGATTTATTAGAGATTAGCAACTATAGATCAATTAAGAAATAGATTTTCACCTATTTACAGACCATCTGAATGACAATGTTGAAAATATTACACAACTGAACTTAGTGTCAAATTTAAATCTAAAATCTGTTTTTATTAAAACAAATGAAATATAGATGAATGTTCTGTAGCATAGTTGGATGTTCTGAAAATGGTCGATTTTATAATTTTTAACAATATGCATAATGAATTACATATTTTCAAAAGAATAAGGCAGTAATCCGTATTTAAACTACTAACCAAAAGGAGGAGCCCTGGTGGCGCAGTGGTTAAGAGTTTGGCTGTTAACCAAAAGGTCGGCAGTTCGAATCCACCAGCTGCTCCTTGGAAACCCTATGGGGCAGTCCTACTCTGTCCTGTAGAGTCACTGTGAGTTGGAATTCACTCGACGGCAACAGATATTTAACCAAAAGGACTTTGTACTAAAAGGTATGAGTGTCTTAAATCTACATACCAAAATCATTATTTGAAAGATTCTCATATAGTAATATTTTGCAGCATCTTATAAATTGTTATTAGACTGCCTCTTAATAGAGTGAGTTGTCTCTTTAAGGGGAAACTGGTGGGGCCATGCCCCCTACAAACATGGACGACCCTGTTCTGCTTGCCCAGCTAGTTTTGGAGGGGGCTGTAGGGAAAATCTGTGCTACAAAGGTATGTGATATTGTGCTATTATATTCAATTTGAATTATATTTTAAAACAGCTTCTGCATTAACTTGTGGTAAAAAATCCAAAAATTAATTTTTACATGAAGAATTTCCAGAGCTCTCGATTTATAAAGAAAATGTTTAAAATATTTATAATATTAATAAGTCTGTTATACCAATATTAGTAAATCTGTTATGTCTCTCCATAAATTGTCATGCTTATTCCAGATAGCCACTTATAATTCTTTTTTGGATTTTTCACAGATTGAAAGTATATTCATATTCTTAAAACCATCTTCATGTATTGTTGACAAGAGTTATTTCCATAACTGTCATGATTTTTGAAGGGATTAGCAACTTAATTTAACATAGTTTATTTTGAGTCCTTTAAAAGGTTTTAGATAAATAATCCGTGGATTTTATTGAACAACACTCAATGAATTATACTGATTTTGTACTTCTCAGGATAAACAATTTCTCATGCGGAAATAACACCAAAAAAAGTGTTGTAAAACTGTTGTAAATGTAATGTTCTCATATGCATTTGACCTCCTAAAAAGGAAATATAAATACTGTGCCCTATTTATAGCCTTCGAAGAGAAAATGTATATGACAAAGCTTTGTAAAAAGTCATGCTCTGTTTGACATTCAGTTGAACATTTTTTACTCCCTTGTACTTTTTTTCTTAATGATAACCAAACGAAGATTAATGCAGATGAAATGTAACAGAAAATATTTGAATAAGTGCAGCCCTTTTCAGCGTGCGTAAAGAAATGTGATGGTTGTTTTCCTTAATGACTGACCGCTCACTGGCTGTAATGAACAGGCAAGAAGTGAACGTGTATTTCACACTGTTGTGTTCACCATGTTTTAATTCTTGGAAGCATTTGAAGCGTTTTTTCATGGAGTGAGTGCCCATCTGTTCTTCTTCCTCTCTATCTCCAAACCTCCAACCTACCTGTCCTTCCCTGGTTGTTGTTGGTTGCCATGGAGTCGCCTCTGACTCATGATGACCTTACGTGTAACAGAAAGAAACATTGCCCGGTCCTGAGCCTTCTTGATGATGGTTAGTATATCTGAGCCCGTTAAGGCCATTCAAAACCTTATGCATAATGGCAGAATATTACCCCTTCATTAAGACCCACTATATTTTACTTAAAGCTGACCTTCCTCTGACTTTCTGTTTCCATTCTCAAAGTTCTGATGTCTTGGACGCCCATGAAAAAGCTGGAAGACAATAATGCACCTCTCCAAAATGTGTCACTTTCAAGTCCACGATCTAGGCCAATCTGGAAGAAAAAATTCCAAATTGGAGTTATTCTCCATCTTCAACTCTAAATTTCTGCACACTGAATTTCCTTCTGAAAAAGAAAAACTTTTATGTGTAAACTGACATTGTAGCAAATAACAAGGGTGTGTCAATCATTTAGGCCAAAAAAAAAAAAAAAAAAATATATATATATATATATATATATATATATCGGGGGAGAATTCTACATGCTATCTTCCTCAAAATATTAAGAATGTGATTTAATTTGGAAAAAAACAAATTCCTGGAACCCTGACTTCATTAGATCACTAGATTTCGTGGTTTCAGTATGAAAACCTAACACTGCTAGCATACTGCAATCTAAGAAAGTTTGGAAATGGCTCCACTGAATATTAGCCAAAAACTAGCATGAATGAATCAGAGGCCCAAAGACTTTTGTGTATATTTCATCTACTCCATCGCAGTACAGAAGGTGGTCACCTTATGCCAAAACTTTTGCGAAAAACAGTGCTGACTTTTCTAGTTTGAAATGTTAAACAAGCATATAAAGATCTATCAGTTTGGGGATTTCGTGTGGATGTAACACGAGATTCATGCCTCTTCAATCTCTTCCATCTAACAGAGGGATCAAACAGCTATTACTCTCCTCGAGAGGAAGAAACAAACGAAATTGAACGGCAGCAGTCACAAGTCCGTGACATTCACGTTCAGACAACAGCAGACGATAGTGACAGAAATGAAGTCGTAAGCACACAGCAAATGTGTAAGACCTCTGCATTTCATTGACGCGATTCGTTTACAAAAACTTAAAAAGTTTAAATAGATAGCGTATTCATCCACATTTTATTATTACTTTGAATATTTTTAGAATGGAAAAAGCTTAGCATTGGACAAAAAAGAATGAAGCATAGCAGCTTTCTTTGCCAACATGAAACTACTCTTTATGTGGACTTGCTGGCTTTAAGTAATCTACAATATCTATGGGAATCAAATATCTATAGGTAGTTCTTTATTAATGTATTTCTCTCTTGAAAATGTCAAATTGTTAGTACTTTCTAACAGATTACTATTTTGCTCTATATCCAGGGGGTATGTGACAGTTTACATGTCTCACTGGGCACATGGTGGCATGTTGTCATCTGCAAGAGCCAATACTTAAAGCCCAGACTTTAGAAATATGTCTGAATTAATGATTTCCATGATTCTTTTAGATACTGCCTGGGCATTGCCTTTTGGGATTAAGGTTTCATGGGCAGTTTTTTTTTTTTGTTTTTTTTTTAAATTGTATTTGTTTTCGAAAAACCTAAATTCAGATTAAAGTATGCTAGTCCAGTAAAATCCATTTGTTGAGCATCATAGCTAATTTTACATGTAGCATGTCCTGTTGCAGGACTGGCAGGAATTTATCACATGCATGTTTAAAAAAATAAATAATTTTTTAAAACTGAGAGCTTGGGGTTGATATGCTATAGCAGCATTTCAGCACTTACTATATGGCTGATACTCTGCTAATCACTGAGTACCCTGGGGATAAAGTTATGATAAAAATCAAGCATGATTCCTCTTCCAGTGGGGGAAATAATGGTATAAATGATAGAAAGCTAAAACTGAGGTAGGTGTGAGGGAGAGGTAGCTGTTTACGTAAAATTGGACTGTGTCACAATGGAAAAATTTGATAATTGCTGTTTAAAAATATTTTTTCACAGTATTTCAGGATTATGGTTAGCATTATATCTCTCCTTAATGCTAGATCTCAAATCTCTTTTTCTTCCTTCTTTCTTTCTTTTTCTGTTTTTTGCAAACAGAATTATTTGTTCCCACTTAGAGCTCTGTTCTGTGAAAAACATTAAATCTTAGTTTACGCTAGAAGAATCACATCCAAAGTTCCAGTGATCTTAGTATTTTCTTACATAACTTTCTTCTTCTTTCAACTACCTTTAATAATAAGCAGTTGATTAAATAGGTTCCAGAGATTTAACAACTGTGTAGTAATTAAATATAGGCATATTTGGCCTACAGAATCTCTAGTTCTACTTTTCATGGATTAATACGTGATTATGTAGTCCTATTCTTGATCTAATGCGGGATTTATAAAAATAATATTTTGTATTTATGTTCCTGTTATATTCCTAAAAGTGTTTTTGCTCTCACAAAACCTTTGGTGGCGTAGATGGTATTATTTTGCACTTAATCAATGGAACATTTACGTTTCAGAGAATTTAAATACTTGCTTGTGATGAAATGACTAGTAAATGATACAGGAGAACACAAAACTAAAACCAAAGCAGCAGTCTGCAGAGTGAAGGAGATTTTCTGATTTGTAGCCTGGCTCTGTCTCCACTGTACCATGTTGCTTTCAATCTTGTCATGATCGAATTACTGAGATAACGTTTTTCTGAAAGTTCAGTGATAGTTTATATAGCAATTAGCCTCTCTTACATTATCTAAATTATTATTATTATTATTTTTTAATTCTTTTAGCCCAAATTGTTTCTTGTGAAGTAAGATTAAGAGACCAGTGCAAAGGAACAACCTGCAATAGGTAAGATTTACTATTATTCTCAAAATTAACTGACAAAATAGGAGCATTATTTTTATTTTCTACTGAAATTCAGAGAGACTAAATTTTTTTCTCCCAATTTCTTCCATTCAGATATGAATGTCCTGCTGGCTGTTTGGATAGTAAAGCTAAAGTTATCGGCAGTGTACATTATGAAATGGTAAGCGTTATAAATACTATCACATGAGGATATATATAGCTCTTCCATATAATACTTGATTTTTTAATGTGAAAGGGACTAGACATATAAGTACACCTGCTCTTCACTTAACGACCATCTCGTTATCTCACATTTTGCGTTTATGACAATAGTAAAAAATCTACTATCCGACTATTTTGCACATTAATCACGTACGTCTGGCAGTAATGAATGCCGAGGTCTGAGAGTAACACTGGCTGCGATGCTTAAGGTTATGTGTCAGCTTGGCTGGGCCATGATTCTCAGTGGTTTGACAGGCATGTAATGGTGTAATTTGGCAGTTACGTAATGATGTAGTGTCGTCCAGTTTGTGATCTGATGTAGTCACCCTTCATTTTCACATAATGCTGATTTTTGCATAACAAACTGATCTTTGGAACCTGACCATATCAATAAGTGGGGAGAGGGTGTATAGCTATTTCACTCAGAAATGTATATTTGAAGTCATGTAAGAAGTAACTCTTACTGTCCTAGGCAGAATCCTAATATTTTAACATCTTTTTCTCCAAGCAATCTAGCATCTGCAGAGCTGCAATCCATTATGGCATAATAGACAATGATGGTGGTTGGGTCGATATCACTAGACAAGGAAGGAAACATTATTTCATCAAATCCAAGAGAAATGGTGTTCAATCAATTGGGTAAGTACCCAAATGATCTTTTGGGTCAGATGATTTTAAATTATAACAATGAGTTAACACGTTTCTTTTTAGAAGAAATCAGAATTTAGTCTGTAAAGAGAAGTTGATAATTTTCAAGGTTCGTTCCAGGTGCATACTTTCCATAGACAGAAAGAAGAAAAAACATCTAAAACTTCCAAAGTTGACCGCTTTCGCTTGTAAAGGACATGCAAAACTCCCAATTTACAAACATTGCAGAGAATGTACATATTTACAGTTAATCCCAGTATGAAGCAATGAATTTTTTTAGCTGCGGCAGAAAATACCCTAGAGAAGACTAACGATTTGCATATGTTCAGTGTCCTGTTTAGGGAAAAGGGAAGCTCCAGAGGCGCAATGGTTAAGCGCTTGGTTGCTAACCGAAAGGTCGGCGGTTCAAACCGACGAGTGACTGCGCAGGAGAAAAGACCTGGCCCTCTTCTCCCATAAACATTACAGCTTAGAAAATCCTATGGGGCAGTTCTGCTCTATCCTGTAGGGTCACTATGAGTTGGAATCGAAGACCCACAAAAACAACAACAACATTTAGGGAAAATGGCTTATTTCATGCAACAGCAACTTTATTCATGAGAAAAATTAGTTAATAGGTAAAGGCATTTTGAAAAGTTCTCTAAGTATGTAATATACTATGTCAACTTTCTTTTGTCTGTTCAAATGTAATTTACCCAATATAATAGCCTTAACCTTTTTTCAAACTTATTTTGTTGTTGAGAATATACACAGCAAAGACTACACCAATTCAGCTGCTTCTACATACACAATGCAGTGACATTGATCACATTCTTCAAGTTGTGCAGCCATTCTCACTCTCTTTTTTCTGAGTTGTTCCTCCCCCGTTAACAGAAATTCACAGCCCCCTAAAATTCCTATCTAATCTTTCAGGGTGCTGTTGTCACATTGCTCCCTTATAGATAGTTCTTAAAACAGCATAATGCTCAAGGCAGATAATTTTTTACTAGTTAAGCTAAACTATTGCTCAAGCATAGCAATGATTGTGAGGATGGTGCAGGACTGGGCAGTGTTTCGTTCTGTTTTAAATAGGGTCGCAATGAGTCAGAACTGACTCGACAGCACCTAGCAACAACAATTGTTTGGTTTTAAGAAAACTTCAGGGGATATTTTTAGTTTCAGGTTTAAAGATTCTCTCAGGGAAGTAGTTTCAGGGGTTCATTCAGCCCCCATGGCTCCAGAAAGTCTAGAGTCCTTGAGAATTTGAAATTGTCTTCTGCATTTTTTACCTTTTGATCAGGATTCTTCTATAGAATCTTTGATCAAAGTGCTCAGTAATGGTAGTGGAGCACCATCCAGTTTTTCTGGTCTTATGGCAAAGGAGGCACTGTTCATGGAAGCAATAAACCACACGTTCCATTTCCTTGTTCTTTCCCGACTCTCCTTCTGTTACTCCAGGCGAATAGAGACCAATTGTTGTGCCTTGGATGGCCGCTTGCAAGCTTTCAAGACCCCAGGCACTGCACAGTGAACTAGGAGGTAGAACAGAAGCGCTAACACGTCAGTAGGCCAGCTAACTGGGATGTCCCATGAAAGCATGGCCCTAAACCTCCAAAACAAGGAGCCAGATCCCATGAGGTTTTGGTTGTACATAAGCAGGCTCAGCAGCTACTCCTTTTTTTTTTGGTGCTTGTTAAATAAATATATCCATCACACAACTTTTGGAAGTTCAGCTTTTTACAGGTGTACAGCTTATTGACAGCAATTACAATAATTGGCTGTGCAACCCTACCCTTAATAAATGTGATTTTTCCATCACCATGAATCCCCCTTTCTACCTCCCTCCTGCCCCTGGAAAGGAGCCCTAGTGGTGCAGTGGTTAAGCACCGGATAGCCAACTGAAAGGTCAGTGGTTCAATCCCACCAGCTGCTCCACAGAAGAAAGATGTGGCAGTCTGCTTCTATAAAGATTTACAGCCTTGGAAACCCTGTGGGGCAGTTCTGCTCTGTTCTATAGTGTTGCTATGAATTGGAATCAACTCGACTGGCCATTTCTTTTTTTTAAACTGCCGTTGGTAACCGCTAATAAACTTGATCTCTGTACATTTGCCTTTTCTTGCCTTTTATATAAGTGAGGCCGTGCAATGTTTGTCCTTTTGTGATTGACTTATTTTACTCATTATAATGTTTTCAAGCTCATCTATACGGTAGCATGTATCAGGACTTCATTTCTCCTACTGGCTGAGTGGTATTCCATTGTACATGTGTACCACATTTTGTTTATCCATTCATCTGCTGATGAGCATTTAGGTTTTTTCCACCTTTTGGCTACTATGAATAGTGCTACATGGCTACTATGAATAGTGCTACAGCTACAGTGAGCATTGGTGTACACGTCTTTGAGTCTCTGCTTTCAAGTCTTTTGGGTGTATACCTAGGCGTGGAATTACTGGGTCACATGGTAGTTCTATTTGTAGTCTTTTGAAGAACTACCACACTGTTTTCCACAACAGCTGTACCATTTTGCATTCCCACCAGCAAAGGACAAAGGTCCCAATTTCCCTACATCTTCATCAACATTTGTTATTTTCTGTTTTTTTTTTTTTTAATCTTAGACATTCTAGTAAGTGTGAAATGATATCTCATTTTGATTTTGATTTGCACCTCTCTGATGGCTGATGACATTGAGCATCTTTTCATGTGTTTGGTGGCCATTTGAATGTCCTCTTTGGCAAAATGTCTAATTTAAGACCTTTCCCCATTTTATGATTGGGTTATTTGTCTTTTTGTTGTTAAGTTGTTGAAGTTTTATATATATTTTGGTTATTAGATTCTTACCAGATACGTGGTTTCCAAGAATATTCTCCCAGTCAGTAGCTTGTCTTTTTACTTTTTCGGTAAAGTCTTTTGATGAAAAAAAGTTTTTAATTTTTGTGAGGCCCCATTTATTTATTTTGCCCCATTTGTTTTTTTAATTTTTTCACTCAAAATTTTTCAGTTTTTACAAACCTAACACGGTGGAGTAGGGTAGGGGAACAGGGGAGGCAGGCAGCTGCAGGAGTAGGGCTGGAGAGAGGCTATGCTTCTGTCTCCACCGGAGACTGGGTCCCACCTGCCATGTTGTTTTCTGCCTGTCCTTCATCTCTGCCTCAGAATTACAGTCTCCTGCAACTACTTTTGCCTTGGCCTTGCTGTCCTCCTCAGCCAGCCTCTCAAACATGTTGGCATTCAGCTTCTTCTCCCATGCAAGCTGCCTGCGGATCTGCTGCTAGCAGACAGCCAGCTGGCCATTGGTGGCTTTGTTGCTGGGGTAGAGGTTCAGGATCTTCTGGAAGTCAGTCCATGCCAGCTCAAAGTCATTCACTGCCAGGTGAGACTCTCCCCAGTGGAAGAGGCCCTTCTCATTGTTGCTGTCCATTTTCCAAGGCCTTGTTGCAGCAGTCAGTAGCAGCTGAGAAAGTCTGTAATTTTAGGTGATGCATGGCCAGACTGAGGTGGGAGGCCAGTTGAAGAGCCTATGCCTTTTGTGCTTCCTTGTTTGAGAAACTTGACTTCTATCCCACCAGGACATCCTCTTCTCATACTGCAATAAAGCTTGCTTGTACTTGCCCTCCTTGAAGTACTCAGTGCCTTGTTCCTTCACTATTCTAGCTTCTCCGAATTCATCTCCCAAGACTTCTTGGCCTTTTCAAAACTCTTGAGGTCAATTTCATATTTCAGTTAGGCATGTGGTGGGATTTGGAACTTTTTCTTCCCAACAGTGCCAAAAGCATGGCTGGGTGTGAGGTATACAATGGAATGTTCTCCTTTCTCCATGTGCTGAATGGTCTTCTCCAGCCCACAAGGCAGATCCAAATTCTCCACCTCACTGATATCATGGTGGAGCTGCCACTGGTCAAACATCCGGTCCCTGTAGTACCCTTCCAGTGCGCCCTCCATGATAGCTCCCTCACTGGGCCTGGCATGGCCTTTACCTTAAGTCTGTATTCTGTGGATGCTGCTGCCTGCTTCGTCTTCCATCAGGTCCTCTCCCTTGAATTCAAACAACTCAACCTCAAACACAAGTGTGGCATTGGGGACGGGGAGTGGGAGGATCTTTGGAGGACCACCTGCCAAACCATAAACATACTCTAGTTTACAGGTGATGTGACACACTTCACCCACCTTTGTGGTTACTACGCCAATGTCCCAAGCCTTGGTGACCCCTCGTTTTGACGGCCAAAGGAGAATTTGTCCTTGCAGTCCAGACGGTAGTCAAACATGGTGCCATCTAACAGCCAACCAGAGTAGTGGACAAAGACCTGATCCCCAGTCATGGGCATCTCTGTGCTCTCTCATCTGATACCTTAAGCAAGCCTTCACCTTGCTTGAGGCTAATATCCACTCCCTCCAGGGGCAGCGGCGCTGACTATGCCTCACTCTCTGCCACCTGCATCTCATCTGCGGTCATTGCCAGTCAGAGTGCTGTTTACTTCGGGAGCTGGGCACTGGGCGTGAGTGAAACCCCCTCGGCTGCTGGGCCTGTCTGCACAGGTGTACAGGTGGGAGGGTGCTGGCTGTGCTGCCTCCAATCTACCAACCAGTCGAAGACGCGAGCACCTTTTGTTATTATATTAGATAATCCATTGTTAAAAGCTAGGCCCTACAGCGTTGCCCATGCATTTTCTTCTAAGAATCTTATGGTTTTAATTTGCATGTTTGAGTCTTTAATCCACTTTGAATTTGTTTTTGTGGATGATGTGAGGCATGGATCCCGTTTCATTTTTCTGCATGTGGAAATCCGGTTTTCCCAACACCATCTACTGAAGAGACTCTTCTTTCCCCATCGAATGGACTTAGCACTTTTGTCAAAAATCAGTTGACCATAGATGTATAGGTTTATTTCTGCACTCTGAATTTTCTTCTGTTGGTCTGTGTGTCTATTGTTAGACCAGTATCAGTCTATTTTTATTACTGTAGCTGTACAGTATGTTTTAAAATCAGGAAGTGTGAGTGCTCCTACTTTGTTCTTCTCTTTCAACATTGCTTTGACTATTTAGGGTCTCTAGCTGTTCCACAAAAAGTTGAGAATTGGTTGGGATTGTGTTGAATATATAGATCACTTTGGGTAACATCACCATCTTAACAATGTTAAGTCTTGCAGCCCAAGAACACAGAACATCTTTCCATTCATTTAAATCTCCTTTAATCTCTTTCAGCAGTGTTTTATATTTTTATAGTATAACATATCCCTGGTTAGATTTATTCCTAGGTATTTTATTCTTTAAGATGCTATTGTAAATGGAATTATTTCCCTAATTTCCCTTTCAGATTTCTCATTGCCCATGTATAGAAACCCAACTGATTTTTGTTTGTTGACCTTGTACACTGCAACTTTGCTAAATTCCTCTATTTGCTCTAGAAGTTTTCTTGTGAACTCTTTGTTATTTTCGATATGTAGGATCATATCATTCCCAAATAGAGATAATTTGACTTCTTCTTTTCCAGTCTGGATACTTTTTATTTCTTTTTCTTGTCTTATTGCTCTGGCTAGGACTTCTAATACAATATTGAATAGAAGTGATGAGAGCGGGTACCCTTGTCTTGTTTCTGATTTCAAGGGAAAAGTTCTCAGTTTTTCCTCCATTAAATGTGCGTTGATTAACTTTTGAAATGTTTCTCTTATTAACAACCCTAAATATGTTATTCTAAAACACCGTGTATTTTCATATGTACTCTGTAGAAAGTAGAAAAATGCAGGCTATTGGAACATCTTTGTTGTGGCCCTTTCTCCTATGTAAAAAATAAACATTATTGATCTTCATACATAATGTCTTTTCATAGGGCATATGACATAGTTTTTTTTTCCTTTTTAGCTATGTGACCACATGAAACTCCACACTAGGATTAAGTTGGAATCCATAGTGATAAGAAGTAAACTAATTTATTAAAATTATGCATACTGGCAGAATAACCTATGTTTAGAGTCACTTGTTGATTAACACATTTATTCAGTAAATATTCTATTAATTACCTTCAATATGTAATAAATATTAGTTATTACCTTCAGTAAGCTAAGCACTGGGGATTGCATCAAAGAACATTTATCCTAATATTTACTTTTATTCCCTTAAATTTAATTTTTGATCATAGAAATTCTCTTGAAACTTGAAGGCTGCATTTAAATAGTTTGCATATTTTGTGCTTCAAAGAATTTTTTTTGTGTGTACATTATAGATGGCAATTATTAAACATTTAATTTGAAGTTGACAGAAATAAAGGATTGTCAGAATATTCCAACACCTTCAGTGCTTTGCTAATGTATGCAGTGAGTGTGCCGTGTTAAAGTATAGCATGATGAATAAACCTCACCTTTGTAGTGGTTAAGAGCTCGGCTGCTAACCAAAAAGTCGGCAGTTTGAATTCACCAGGCGCTCCTTGGAAACCCTATGGGGCAGTTCTACTCTGTCCTACAGGGTTGCTATGAGTCAGAATCGACTCGACGGCAATGGGTTTTTTTTTTTGAGGGGGGGGGTGGTTTGTAATATAGGTTTTTTGAAAACCTGACCAGTTAAAATTTTGATATATAGTGATGTACCTAACTTATATTTCTGTTTTTCTATAACGCATGTACTGAAGGGGTAATTTATTCATTCATTGTAGACATACTAGATTCTTGTGGCACACACACAAGGAATAAAAAACACTTCCTTAAGGTCCTTATTATCTAGTAGTCTTTTTACAGCACTAGCTTGCATTTGTTATTGTAAAAGATTAGTCTGGCTTTGTGGCAACGGTGAAGTAGAATATTGGGAATTTTAATTTTAACAGTAAATAAATATGTAGATTTAAATGTGTATGGTTTGCTTTATGCTATTATCTGTCACTAATGAAAAGTATCATCCTTTAATGTCAAGAATGGTATTGATTTGGTTCTTACTTCAAGGTAATATGTAGTTGGCATAAAATAGATTATATATTTTTAGACTACTACATATTTAGATATTTTATTAACAGTGATTAAGAAGAAATAAAATATTCCTAAACCTGAAAACCACCAGGAATTATGATGATAATGATGCCTATAAGAAAATGATTGATTTTTTTTTTAATCTTCAGCAAATATCAGTCTGCTAATTCCTTCACAGTCTCGAAAGTAACAGGTTAGTGCTTTAACTTTTTGTCTGATTTTCTATTATGTTGAATGTTATTACTTCCAAAGGATTTGCTTACTGTTTTGTATTTCTTTCTTGTAGTTCAGGCTGTCACCTGTGAAACAACTGTGGAACAGCTGTGTTCATTTCATAAACCTGCTTCGCATTGCCCAAGGTAACATTTCAGAAGTTTTATCATTCTTTTGTACCAGGGAAAACGTACGCCATTTTGGCCCCGTGATAACTGTGTTTGTCTGACATCTTGGTTTCTTTAGGATTGAAATGGTGTGTGATCTGTCTTTAGGATTTAAATGGTGTGTGATCGCGAACTGCTAAGCAGGAGGAAGCAAGGGGATATCAAAAATTACATGCACTGTGGCACCCCTCACATGCTTTCCCCAAATGCAACAGCACTTTTCTGTGTAAGGCAACATAATCTCTGTGTTTACATATACTACAAAGAGCTCTTATCACAGAAACCACAATGACATACCTCGCATTTTTTAACATTTTTATCCAGTTTTTAAATTAGTTAAATCTAATTGCAATTGGTAAGTCAAAAAACCCATCTTCTTTCTTTTCTTTTTATTGTACACTGTTGTTTAAAAATTATAATAGGGTAAACCTACTGTAAGATAACAAAAATACTTAATTTGTCTTGGCCAAACTAAAATGAAAACTTTTAGAAGTGTTATTATAAAGACATTTTAATTAGTATGATAATGTACTATTTTTAAGATATGCAAATGGTACTTCAACAGGTAGAAGGAAACTTCAAGTATGGGACATAAGACCACTGAATACTTTATAATTATTAATTCTTGAGAGATTTGTTTCATGTAGGTGGCTTGATTATATTTTAAAATTGCGTTAGTTGTGGAGTTTAATCCTAAAAATTATGATTTATTGAGTTTTGGTGTAAGTAGATAAGCTTTTGGAGTTGCGCTGCTGATGTTTAAGGAACAGTAAGGTGTGATTATCAATTTGGTCACTATCACAATTATATATGCATCATTTTTTACTGCCTCAGTTGTAATTTCATGATTTTAGGTAAAAATGGGATGGCATGTGTCTGAGTTACCATGTTTTTTCTCCTGCCTTCGTAATTGGGCATCTTTGGAATTGCTTGGAAACAATCTAACACCAAAAGGAAAAAATCGTTTTGTGCTACTATGTACTGCTTACTCTGCATTTGTGTGGGTGGAACTCCTCTTTGTGGGTAGAGTTCAGAGTGTCAGTTGAATAGTGTCTTGACATTCCCTCCAGTTATAAATATTGTTCAAATCCTGAAATACTGTCCAGCTAAAATCAACTTTATCTTGCGCCATTTTAAATATTATTAACAAGTAGGGTTTTGAAACATGTCCATACAAACTTAAAGCCTCCTATAATGTTTATTTTTTATTCCTATTAATTCTCTTACTTTTTCCTAAAGGCTTTTATTCACTTATAATTTAATCTAAAGCAATAACATAAATAAGGGTTTTTTTTTTTTAAGTGAAAACTTTATACCAATAGTAAATTAAAAAAAAATTTTTTTTATTGTACTTTAGATGAAAGTTTACAGAACAAATAGTTTCTCATTAAACAGTCAGTACACATATTGTTTTATGACATTGGTTAACAACCCCACAACATGTC